TTTTCTCATCCTTTAAAAATGTCTTTAAAACATGTGTTATAATAGCCATCGTGTATTAACTCAGATGAATTAATAAGGTTAGTTTTTACTGAATACATACTACCTATCTGAGCACTCTACAAGCAGTTTATATAGTTAACTCATTTACTCTTCATAGCTCTGTGAGGTTGGTACTATTATCCTCATTTCACAGATAAGAAAAATGAGACAGGTTAAGAAACCAGTCCAAGGTCACATAGGAAGCATTAGAGCAGGACTCAAAGCCAGGATGTCTGAATCATTAGACTATATGCCATTTTTCAACAATACATGTATACAATTTTAAAATATGCATAAATTGATAATAGATGCTTAAAACTTTTCCTGCACACCAGTGAAGAAAAAATGTTTAGATGGGGTTGTTGGTTGGGTGGATTATGAACAGCAGACTAGGTAAGAGATAATGGTATTCTGAAATATGGGGGTAGTAATTAGGGGATGGATTGGGGAGATAATTGGTAAAATTGACAGGACTTGGTGATAGACTGGGGATGGGGGTTAAGGGAGAAGGAGCCGAGGATGATTCTTTTGATTCCGACTTACATAAATGGATTGGACAGTGAAGCTGCTGACAAGAGGCCAGGGCAGCAGGTTAGGTCATTCAGTTCTGATAGTTTTTCTTTGGACCACAAGTACACTGTCCTTTCAGTGTGCCATTAAAAGACAAACTGATTACAGGTTCTTTCCATTTGTAACAAAACTCTCCATTATAACATTTATATAAGCAATTATGCCGCCAACGTTGTATTAAAAATGGCATGGTCAAATTTTCACCCATTTTCTCTAAAGGTACAATGAATTAAGCCATAAAATTTGGAAGTGAATGATGTTTGCTATAATAAGACAATGAAAGTTCAACAGTCCTCTTCTTTAAAGATACCAGTATTCCTATAGCATTGCTAGAATAGTTCAGGAGCATCCTATTATGTTCAATCACAAGACACAAGCTGTGATGTTCAATCCTGAAGATCGATAATGACTGGAAAAATTACTTTTACATTTCCTATTTATGATTTTCTAAATACTACTTCATCTTTTAAAGTTTGTAATATTGTCCTCTGTCTTCCTCCCAGGTCTTAGAAGAATTATAGAAAAGAATTGAACTGGTTTAACAGATACTGTGATTCTAGTCTATTCTGTTTATTTCCATTTGTAGCATTTCTAATGCTAAAACGCTCCTTCTAGAAATCAAGATTAAGTAGGAAGAACATATGAGCAGTTCGAATGTTATTAGCCACAGGAAATGTTGATTTTACGAAAAACATTAAATTGGGCAAGTCAGCTGGTTAGAGCGTCACCGGATACACCAAGGTTGCGGTTGGATCAGCCAATGAATGCGCGGAGGGTTGGAACAACACAATAGATGTTTCTCCTGCTCTCTCTCTCTCTCTTCCTCTCTCGCCAATACAAAACAAAACCTAGCATACTGTTCCAACAAATAATGCCGGTCACTTCGAATCCTTATTTCAGGTTCTCCAGAAACTTTCCATTTAAACCTCAGCAACATAGACATCGTTTTGCTGTCTGTCCGGTCACAACTGCAGGTACAGTCACAAGCAGAGAACTGCGTCGACAAATCCTGTCCATCCCCTCTTCCGTCCATTTCAAGTTTCCATTTGGTACAGGCCACTCACATAGGCTTTCCCCGAAATGTGCTGAAGTCAGACACAGCTATACATTGCGCGCCACACCGAGGAGTTATTATTGATTCTTCCCAAAGGAAACCGCGTGAGCTTCCTGCAGGGCGTCCCCAAAGCGCCGCGGCGGTCGCCAGCTCTCGGAGCCGCAGTCGCGGCAACACAACGCAGGGGCTCCGTCCCTGTCAGCGGCCGCAGCCTCCGCGGGGGCCGCCGGCGAGACCCCGCTCCTCGCGGGAGTCCCGGGGCCGCCCCTGCCGGTGAGCGGGAGGAAGGGGCGTGAACTCCCAGGAACACCCGCGTGACGTCGCTCGGGCTCTAGGAGGGGCAGGTCCGGCCGCCTCCGCCTCCGCCTCCGCCCCGGCCGGCGGCCCGCGGGCCCTGCCCCGCCCTCAGAAGGCGCGGGCTGCCCTGAGGGGCCAGCTTTCCCGCGGCGCGTTTGGCCAGTTCGTGAGGGGGAAAAGGAGAAAAGCCAGTGGGCTTCCCTTCACAGCCCGGAAGCGCGCCCGCACCCCTGCCGGTTTCCGAGAACCTAGAGGCCACCCTGGAAGCCGTGAGTAAGAGGAACCTCTTAGGAGGAACCCCTTTCTCTCCACCCCCTCCCCGCCCCACCCGGAGCGCTGGGTCGGAGAGGCCACTTCCGGCCTGGAGCTGCGCGCTGAGCGTGGGCATTCGGCCCTCGGCGTGGGGACGGCCGTGTGGGTCTGGGGTTGAGTAGGAATAAGTCCTGGGGCCGGGCTCCGGCCGGCTGGAAGCGAGGGAGGGAAGGCTCGCGCTCCGGGCTGCAGCTGGATCTCCCGCGTTAGCTTTGGACTTGCGTCCCCGCGCCGAGCCCGCCCCGCGCCTGCGCAGACGGCTGCCCCGCGCGGGCGGTGCCCCTCGCGCAGTCGGTGCCAGTCACCCTGGGAGCCTATGGAGCGTGCGCGCGAGGAGAGGCTGGCGGCGGAGGCTCCGGGGAGGGAGCTTCGGGACTCTGCTTTGCTAGTTAGAGCGCCGCCCCAGTCCCGGTCCAGGTTAGGGCTCCTGAGGGACTCCAGGCGCGGCTCTTCCCTTACTTGTGTGAGAGAACGTGTGGTGTGACAGGAGATGCTTCATCCGGTGGCTTACACCGCTCCGGGAGGCACAGGGATGTCTCTGTCACCACAGCCCTGGGATCCAGGATGCGACTTGAGAGGCAGAAGGCACATGTCTGAGACTTTAGAGCGCGCCAGCGTGCACTGAATAACGGTTCACTGACAGAAGAGATGCCAACGAAAAGTGCCGGGCATGCAGGATAGGTTGGAGATGGTTTTGGGAGCCAGAATTGGCAACTTTACTATTGATGAATTGTTGTCGTTTTTTGTGGGGGTGAAGGGGTATAACTTTTTTTTACCGTCTCTGAAAATATATTTCTTAAAGGACACTTCTTTTTTTTTTACACTATTGGATTTAAATGAATACCACTCAATTTTAAATTCATTTAAGTTACTTTGTTTTAAACTGTTTATCTAATAGAAACAATGAATTTACCTGGTTTGTTCCTGAGCAGTATTTTGTAGTTATTGGCATCACGACTTGAGTTCCAACCGTGACAAAGCCTTGTCCCACCAATATCACCTGGGAGTCAATCTCTTAGTCCTGTTTCTCCAGCTCTAAAATGAAATTAATAATAGTAGCTGTTTTATGGAGTTCTGAATGTTAGGATAAAAAATGAATATAGAACATCATGATTCTTGGTAATGGTGAACATTTAATAAATGACAGCTTTTATTGACAGTATTATTGGCCCATTGAATGATCTTTTAGGGTTAAGAAATAGAATACAAGTGTCTTGGGAAATAAAATTGTACTAATGCAATGCCTCCAGTCCCACTTTTTAAAAAAAAAATTGTGGAAATAATAAACGTACACAAGAGAGACACTCATTGTCCATCCATTGTCCAGCTTTGATTATTACCCAAGTGCAGCCCTTCTTGTTTCATCTTTCCACACAACATCCTTTCGTTCATTTTATCTGGAGTATTTTAAAGCAAATCTCAGAGAACATCTCAAATGTCTTTTTATCAGATAAAGGACTTTTTAACATAACCACATCATTATCATACCAAAGAAATTAAAAATAATTCCCTAATATTACCTAAAAATTCAGCCTATATTCCTTTTTCACTGATTGTTTCAAAAAAGTATAGCCACAGTTTTTTAAAACTTAATAAAAATAGCCAAAACCAGTTTGGCTCAGTGGATAGAGCGTCTGCCTGTGAACTGAAAGGTCCCAGGTTCGATTCCAGTCAAGGCATGTACCTTGGTTGCAGGCACATCCTCAGTAGGGGGTGTGCAAGAGGCAGCTGATTGATGACTCTCATCGATGTCTCTAACTATCTCTCTCCCTTCCTCTCTGTACAAAATCAATAAAATATATTAAAAAAAAAAAAAAAAAGACATGTCAATTTGGGTACTTGTTAGTAGGCCATTGACTAAGAAGCGAAGTTTCTTAGATGTGAAGTTTAATAGACTTGTTAATCACTTTTCTTTCTTAATGGCAGCTAGTTAATGGTTTCAATTTAAGAACCCATTAAAATATTTATTAATTCACTTTAACTTCTTAATAGCCTGTTGCTTTTTTCAAGGGCTATACAAATAATCAACTTTTTCACCATTGCTCTGAGAGAGGTACAAGATACCTTTACCCTAGTTGCCTTTTTATTAAATGTTTCTGTACTCATAGATCTTTGCTGTATCTGTTTCTTGCTCACTGTCTCATGAGAAAGCTATTCATATGCTCATATGTGTTAATATGTCAATGATCTTTCTTGTTCTTTATAATGTATGTAGCTTTGTATGTATATAGATATGTGTGTATATGGTTAATTCAAGAATATTTTAGAATGTTTTTTTCATTTTTGGGTTCAATATATATTGTTGCATTCTATATCAACTCAAAAGTTTAAAAAACAAATTCTTTTAGAATGGTGTATAAATATTAATCTCTATATTAGTATCCTTTCAGTTTAACATTGGTAATAATTCTAGGAGGAATAAGAGAAAATTTGCCTGAAAATTTAGCTTAACTAAAATCCAGATTACTAAAATCAGGGCTTTTTTTCACCACAATCATCTTTTTTCATACCTCTTTTCCCCAAAATTCTCAAAATTATTGAGTGTAAGTCAATTAGGAAAACTGGCTGGGCTCAAATTACATAAAGGTAAATGCAAGATTTATTTATGTTGTGATCTGTCATTTCAGGTATTTTAGCTGTCCAAAGACAACTTCATACCTATATAATGTAACAGAAAAAGTCAAAAGACATTTAGGCAAATAGAAGTGTGGAGCATATTCAAGCAAAGATGAACAACTCTGGAAGCAGTTGTGGAAGCCCTAGTTCTGCAGAGATATCGAATGACTTTAAGGATCTTTGGACAAAACTAAAGGAGTGTCATGATAAAGAAGTACAAGGTAAAATATTTTCTCCCAATATTTACCACAACAGCATTGTACTGAGACTGTAGTAATAATAACAACTAATTTTGTCTAACAGTTCAAAGATCTCATTTCTAAGGTACCTTTACTATTATAATTTTTTGTGATACCTTTTTTATGGTTAAGTTGTAGCTTATCACCTACAGACAACTACTACAGTAGGTAGCTTTTGCACAATTTATAGTTACTTGTAGTAATATGTATGTTTTGATGGAAAGAGCATAGAATTTTTTAACTGAATACCTGGATTGGAATTCTGATTTAATTAATCTACATGCTCTCAGCCAAGTTACATAATCTCTAAACTTAATTAATTTATTTGAGAAATCTTTGGGAATCTATTTGCTACCAATACTTAGATACTAAGGCAAATGACAGTTTGCCTTCAAAGAACCTGCAGTCTAATAGAGTCATATGAACAGATCATTACAGTGTAATGAAATAAGAGCTTAAAAGATTTATATGAAATGCAATTAGTGAGCAGATGATTGAGCAGTTGTAGTCAGAATGAGTATATAAATATCGGTGATTGTGTATTCCATATAAAGGAATGTTCTATTGAAGCTAAACTCAAGGTTTGATATTAAGCTTTAATATACCTATTTAATTCTGTAACTTTAATACATTTTTGTCATGTGTGGGAAATGCTTCATATTGTATTTGTTTCTTACAATCATAGGTTTAATTCTATACTACTTTGTAGTTTTAACATTACACTGGAGTGCCATTAAAACATAATCCACCTGAATCTAAAGTATAGTATGTGGGTCTGTGTTGGAGCTTTCCTAGGATACATTTAGTTTGGTAAAAACTCATTAATTAATGGGTTTTGAAAAATTAACCCAGAAATATTCTTATAAGTCCTAGTGTACTTGGAGATAATTGTTAAAGAAATGTTTTGGGGGGCACTTATTATGTGCCAATCCTTATGAATAAGAATGAATCATATACATCCTAGTTTTAAGGGATTTTGTAGCGTACCATTTTATCTGGGAATATAAAAGAAAAACCAGGCATATATGTTGGTGGGAGAGTGGGTGATTTACTGATAGACCAAGCTTTATAATTGAATTGTCTAACTAGTATGTACTATGCTGAAGGCAAGTTATCATCATGCCTTGTCATCATACTTTGTCTTTAGGATTAAATCTAAAACTTTCATCTTTCATTGATTACAAGTGGATGGGAATAGTGCTGAGCTGAGAATGAGGCCATGTGATAGAGTGGTTAAATCCATGAATTTTCCATTTAGACACGTGGTCAGCAAACTGCAGCTCTTTGGCCCCTTGAGTGTGGCTCTTCCACAAAATACCACGGCCTGGGCGAGTCTATTTTGAAGAAGTTTAAGTTTAAAAAATTGGCTCTTAAAAGAAATTTCAAGCCGAAACCAGTTTTGGCTCAGTGGATAGAGCATCGGCTTGCAGACTCAAGGGTCCCAGGTTCGATTCCAGTCAAGGGCATGTACCTTGGTTGCGGGCACATCCCCAGTTGGGGGTGTGCAGGAGGCAGCTGATTGATGTTCCTCTCACATTGATGTTTCTAACTCTCTATCCCTCTCCCTTTCTCTCTGTAAAAAATCAATAGAATATATTAAAAAAGAAAAAAAAGAAAAAGAAATTTCAATTATTGTATTGTTGATATTTGGCTCTATTGACTAATGAGTTTGCCGACCACTGATCTAGACTACCAATATTCGAAAGTCGTATCCATCACTTGAATAGAGGTGGTGACTTTGTGCAAGTAAAACTTTATAGTGCCTCATGTTCCTTATCTATAAAATAATAGCTACCTCATTATATTAAACTAGAGGCCGGGTGCATGAAAATTCATGCACCGGAGAGGGGTTCCCTCAAGCCTGGCCTGCCCCCTCTCACAGTCTGGGAGCCCTCAGGGGCAGGAGCCTACCCAGTAATCAGGGGAAGGCAACACCCCATCATACCTCTGCTGCTGCTACTGCCAGCAGCACAGGCCTTGGCCAACCCTGATTACCTGAGCTTTGGGCAGCCCTGGGCAGTTGCTGCCATGCAAGGTTTGCCTATACCTCGGGCCTGCTCTGGATAACTGGGCAGCCGCCATCTGAGGCTTGCCTGGGCCTCAGGCCAGCCCTGGGCAGCTGGGAGACTGGGGGACTCCATAGGCAGGTGCCCCAGCAGGACTGAGAGGACAAGCACTGCCATCTTGTAGTTGTGGGCACTGCCATCTTTTGAAGGCATGGCAGTCAATTAGCATATTCCCTCCTTATTGGCTGTGGGTGCTGTCCTTTTGTGATGGCATGAGGGTCAATTAGCATATTCCCTCTTTATTAGACAGTACTAGAAGCCCAGTGCACAAAAACTTGTGCACTTGACAGGAGGTGGGCTGGCCTGCACCCTCTCGCAATCTAAGAGCCCTCAGGAGATGGGAGGAGCGAGCCTAAGCCATCAGTCTGACATCCTTAGCACTGCCAAGAAGGCGGGAGCCCAGCTTGTGGTTGAGCAGAGCTTCCCCTGTGGGAGTGCACTGACCACCAGGGGGCAGCTTCTGTGTTGAGTGTCTGCCCCCTGGTGGTCATAGGGTCAGTTTGCATATTACCCTTTTATTATATTATACCAGGTGCACCAGTTAATTTAGATTTTGTAATCAGAGAAAACATGATAATTTCAAGAGAAACATCAAAAGTGCTTTATTCAAAGTAATGTCCATCACTAGCTATACATTTCCCCCATCTTTCAGGTAATTTGTGTATACTGTCCCAATAGAACTTTTCTTATTTTGAGGCAAACCATTCCATTTATTCATATGTTTTGAAGTGCTGCTCAGAAAGTGTGTGTGCCATTGATCTCAAGGAGCAAGGTCTGGTGAATACAGTGGGTGGATTAATACTTCCCAGGCAAAATCTTTTAACATGTCTTTAACTGGTTTTAAAGTGTGTGATGGTGCATCATCATGAAGCAAAATTACTTTGCCATGTCTTCTGGCCCTTCTGGTCATTTTACAATCAAGGCATGGTTCAAATTGATTATTTGTTGTCGGTAGCAATCAGTATTAATGATTTCATCTGGTTTTAGAAGCTCATAATATTCATTGTCTTCTTTCTGCAGCGATTAGGCCTTGCAGTCAATGTTGATGGCTGACCCATGATTTTGTGCATTTGGGATTTTCTAAATAAATTCACTTTTCATCACCAGGCACAATTGGATGCAAAAAAGACTTTCATGTCGCTAAAGCAAAATTTTACTGAATGTTTTTCGGTTTTCCATTTGTCTTTCATTCAATTGATGTTGCATCCGTTTTCCTTGCTTTAAAATCTTTCCCATTGCTTGTAAACAATCAGAAATTGTTTGCTGAGCAATGTTTAATCTTTCTGCAAGTTGTTTTTGAGTTTGACACCCATCTTCATCCAATAATGCTTGTAATTGTTGATCTTCAAACTTCTTTGGTTGACCTGGACGTTCTTTATCTTTCACATCGAAATCATCACTTTAAAGCATTTAAACCAGTGTTCACAAGTATCTTGAAATGGAACATGTTCACCATAAGCTTCCCAAACTATACGATAACCTTCAGCAGCACTTTAAAATAATGAATTAAAATTGCCCACAAATGCTCTTTTTTTGGTACAAAATTTGACATTTTTAAGTGTAAAAATATCTAGGATGTTAACACCTTCAGAAAATTTGACATAGGAAGTTTTGAAGCTTGCTATCAATACAACAAAATAGCATACATATTAAATTGTATATATATCAACACACGTGTAACTATCTATTGAAAAAATCCACATTAGTATCCAGTACATCTGGTATAGGATAGCTTAATAAATGTAAAGCATTTTAAGAATGTCTGGCACATAGTAGGCAATGTTTCTGTTAGCTGTGGCTATCTTTCTGAAGCAGTAAGGATTTGTACTATCAATTCCCAGCTATTTAGTCATTCATTCAGTAGCAGTTACTGAGAATACAATAGTGAAGAAGACACTGAGAATACAATAGTGAAGAAGACACGGTAGGTTTTGTAGGCATTGTATTCATTTTCTTTAGGAAAATATTTGTACACTATAATTATATGATGAAATGATAGCAAAAATAAGCCAGTTACAAGACTGTCCTGGTAACACTGATAACAATATAATCAGCTACATGTGTATTTTATAAAACAGGGAAGGAATAAACAATGTCTCCCAACTTATGTCAAAGAGCAGCAGTATCTTCCTTTTAGTGTATAATACTGTGATCTCAGCATGTAGGCTTACCAATATGAACAGCTTCAAGTTCAAGCAGCTATTATAAGAGCTACAGATTATATATAAAGCTTATTCTTTGTGACCTGGAAGTAAAGCAAATGCAGTATTTTGAAATAATTTAAATAGGACCAGGTGTACTTGAGTTTTTATTAAACATTTGATAGAGAAGAATTAGTATTCTGCCATCTTCAAGCATAGGTTGAATTCTTTATCCTTCATATAATTATATTCTGTTGTTTTATAACTGGTTATAAAACGATCATTAAATTTTTATTATGCGGAGTCCCTTATCTTACTCATCTTTACATCCCTTAGGTAAAAGTGCTTGGCACATATTAAAAATCAGTAAATGGTATGTGAATGAATTGCAGACTTTATAACTGGATCAATGAAACATTTTCTTAAATATCAGTTTTTTAAAGTCCCCAAATGTATGAAAACATCAAAATTATATATCTGTCTAAAACTCAGAAATACTCTATTACTATTTACTTTAAATTTTCTATTTTTAGAAAACATTGTAGAAAGTTGAGAAAGGAAAAATAAGTCGCTGTTCTATATAATGACATTTGTTTATTCTTTCCTAGTTTTAAAAGATATGCATGTAGCTTATATTGTGATTAGTGTACATAATGTTTTATACTTACTTATTTTTGCTATTATTTTTATTTTTCTAAACCATGCTTATTTTTCATGTTGCACATCATTGTCATTTTAGAGTTTTTATACATGCCACTTAAAACTGAGCCAGTTT